GATTCAACATTGTTTGCTTCACTTAATGTAAATTCGTAGTTATAATGGTGTGAGCCGGATACACAGCGTGGTGGTGCTAACGTATGCCGGATTGTGTGAAGGTTGCGGCCAACTATAGTCGACCGGTTGAGCCGTAACCTGGTGGTGTCGATAAATCGTCTACGGGCGGTGTCCGAGCACTATCTCGAGTTGTTGTAGCCTAGGTGTGGGCAGTGTTTTTGGCCCGTTAGTGGGCAGCGGGTGTGCACCTCGCTAGGACCATTGTTTGTTTGCTTGGGTACTTTAGGTACCGTGTTTGACATGCATTAGAATTAATTTATATTTATTTGGAGTGCTATGTCCTGGTCTACGGACTTCGGGGTAGCATCCCATACCTCACTGAGCGACTCCCCTGTTGCTCACCCCTCTTTCTTCCCCTTGCAGGTGAGACCGATCAGCAAGAGTGATCATATCGGACCGGTGCTATTGGGCTTTTGGGCTTCTATAGTATTCTATCTTATCCTATCGTATTTTATCGTATTTTATCGTATTGGGCTTATAAGCCTTGGACTTTTATCGCTTATGTTATTTCAGACTTTCGGTTTATGTTGTTGACGTTATTACGGATGTTATGTGTTGGGCCTTGGGCCGTTTTATGTTTTGGACTTATGTGGCACGGTTTATGTCGACTTTTAAGTATTATTATTAAATCCGATGTTTTCATTAATTATTATTAATTATATTATTTTCGGAAGAATCGGGTGTGACAGTTTTTGGTATCAGAGCGTGGTTCCGTCCCGGCTCCGACCCGGGATGGCGATTCGTGGAGACCTCGGTTTTAATCGGATTTTGATGATTTTTCAAAATGTTTTGGGGAATTTGGGATATTTTTCAAAGAAAAATCAATAGCACCATTATGTCCGGTATCACTTCTTTAACCCTTTTGAATTAGTGCTCGATAGAAGTTAACCGATTTGTTTCCCCTTTCAGATGCCACCGAGACCGAGAGTTGTTCGTACTCAGACTACCAGAGCTGCTAGAGAGACAGGAGATGATGATGTTCAGCCCGCAGTTCCGCAGCCTGCACCACCACCGATTGATCAGGATGCTTTGAGACAGATGGTGCAGGATGCAGCGAGGCAAGCCGCTCAGGAGGCAGTTCAGGAGGCTGCTAGAGTAGCAGCACAGGAGGTTGCTAGACAGATGGCTGCAGTTCATCAGGGCCCTCAGGTTCAGGTTCATCAGGGTCCGCAGATTCAGGTGCAGGAGGTTCCGCCAGTTCAGGTTCCACCAGTTCAGGTTCCGCCAGTTCAGGTTCCGCCAGTTCAGGTTCCGCCAGTTCAGGTTCCCGCTCAGCAGGTTCCCTTTCCTCAGGTTCCATTGCAGCATGCCCCAGCATATCAGTTTGATCAGGGTATTCATGTTCCACCACCACCGCCACCACCTCACTATCACCCAGGCTACGANCCGCTCAGCAGGTTCCCTTTCCTCAGGTTCCATTGCAGCATGCCCCAGCATATCAGTTTGATCAGGGTATTCATGTTCCACCACCACCGCCACCACCTCACTATCACCCAGGCTACGATGATAGGTTTTTCAGGCTGACGAGGCAGATGAAAGACATGGATATGGTGCATTTCAGTGGAGCGACGGATCCGATAGAGGCACATGATTGGAAGCTAGGTCTGGAGCGTAAGTTGGAGATTCTCGATTGCCTACCAGAGTTCTCACTTAGATTGGCGATGCAGTATCTACGTGGAGATGCACTAGTTTGGTGGGATGGAGTGCGTTTGAGCCGTGGAGCAGAGAGGCTTACTTTTGCTGATTTTATTCAGGAGTTCGATAAGAAGTACTTTCCTAAGGAGGCCCTGGACAAGATGAAGAGTGACTTTGAGCATGTGAGCCAGGGTAGCTTGACCATCAGGGAGTATGAGGTTAAGTTCAACCGACTTCGTAGGTTTGCTGGGAGTGGCATTTCAGAGGAGGACTTGATCCGTAAGTTTCTGGTTGGGATGCGGATCGAGATTCGCAACAGATGTAGGGTTGTCACTTATCACAGATTGGGAGATTTGGTTGAGAAAGCCGCTGAGCAGGAGGCCGGTTTAGCAGAGGAGCAGAGACTTTCTAGAGCAGTTCAGACTAAGTCGGGAAAGGCCCCGGAGTCTCAGAGGAGTGCGGGAAACCAGTCAGGACCACCGAGATGCCCTCGTTGCCATCGCAGTCATTTCGGACAGTGTGTCAGGTGCTTCACTTGTGGTCAGCGAGGACACGTTGCAAAGGATTGTCGGGCAAGACCCGTGGATGCGGCTCCAGTTAGACATGTTGCAGCACCGACAGCGACTGTTGGGATTTGTTATGGTTGTCACCAGCCCGGTCACCTCCAGAGAGATTGCCCAAGGAGGGGTAATGCAGCACTTCCACCGCCAGCTAAGCGTTTAGCCATTGCTCCGCGTGCGTTTGCTACAGGAGAACCGCAGGGAGCAGAGCCGATAGCGGGTATGTGTCTTCATTATTTTCAGTTCTGTGTGAATGTTTTGGGTTCTTGGTCATCATGTGTAGTTAGAAAAAAATAAAAATAAAATAATAATAATATCGTGTAGGATCGGTTGTGGTTGGAGGTGAGCCATCTCACACGTTGTTCGACACAGGAGCTTCTCACAGCTTTGTGAGTCCGCGCGTAGTCAAGTCTTGGTCTTTTCAGGGAATCTTCGAACCGAAGGCTAAGCAGATTCAGACCGCCGGGATTGAGAAGTTAGGAGCAGTTGGTATTCATCGCGACGTACCAATCATGCTTGGAGGAGTTGATTTACTTGGAGATTTGACAGAGATGGAGATGAGTTTTTATGACGTCATACTTGGGATGGATTGGTTGACGCGACATAACGTGATCTTGGATTGCCCGAAGGCAAGAGTGAGCATTCCTAGACCGGAAGGAAGTATCATTTTTCAGGGGATGCAGACATACCAAGGAGTTTCCATCGTTTCCATGTTACGTGCTGAG